TAGCCCAAACACTCGCATGTCACGGAGTGATTCTGAGTATCCCATATTCTTGTACGCAGGCCGCGTGGCCGTTGAGAAGAATATGGAAGCTTTCTTGGCACTGGACCTGCCCGGGCAAAAATGGGTGGTAGGCGACGGACCAGCCCTGCAGGGGCTTCAAGAAGCTTACCCGAATGCCCGATATTTCGGTTTTTTAAATCAGACGGAGCTTGCCAAGCTGTACCAGCAGGCCAACGTGTTCGTTTTCCCTAGCAAGACCGACACTTTTGGATTGGTGCTGCTTGAGGCCATGGCCACGGGATTGCCGGTAGCAGCCTACCCAGTTTCTGGACCTATCGACGTGGTCGGTACATCCGGGGCAGGAGTGTTGGACGAAAACCTGCGCTCCGCGTGCATGCGGGCTCTGGAGATCGACCCGGCCGTGGCTAGGGCGCACGCAGAGAAGTATTCGTGGACTGCAGCCACGCGAATGTTTGCCAGAAATCTTCAATACATCTCCCCCTTCGTCTTTGCCAAAGGCGTACAGGAGTGGACCAGTGCCCGGTTCCTGGATGATGGGAGCAACGACTTAGTCTCATTCTTGCCCCCTCATTTGGTGGAGTGGCTGGGGAAGAATGATGGAATAGAACAGGCAACGGAGCCACAAGCAGGGGCCCTAGTGGAGCCGCTACCAGGCTTGCCTTGCTCTGGCGACGGGCCAATCCCGCCTCCTTGTTCAACGGAAGCTTCTGATTCGATGGCCTCCTACACATCAAGCAGCAGTGGGTCGAGCACCAATAGCAGCGGCAGTGGCACGAGCACGCCGTGCCTGAGGGCGGCGACGGCGGAGGACCCATTTGTAATTTCTGGGAGTGGTGGGAAGGGCTCAGAATTGGCTCTTGGCGTGTATCATTACGAAAGCACTTCCTGGGCGTACCTGATGGTGGTTTGTGTCGGGGTGACAATGGTAGGAAACTATTTTTTCTCTTTCTTCTTCAAGCCCCGGGGCGGGAAAACCCCAGGCTCAATCAAGAGGCCCGCAGGATATCGACGGCCACTAAGTCTACCGTCAGAGGACGGTCGAAGCGTCGGAAGCGTAACCCCACCTCTGTCGCCAGCCTCGACTTGTAGCTACTCCGTTTCTTCCACGGAAGAAAGTCTGTGGTAGCTTGTTCTGGCGCGGGCGAAGACCTGAGCGAGATAGAAGTACGTATATAACATTTTCCTGCATATGTGATGTTTGCTCGGAGGGGCGTGCTGTCAGGACTGAAACTAATTTTATGGCGTTTGATGTCAGCAGAATATTCGCAGGAAGGGGAACGGACGGACGGACAGTTTGAGGAAAGGGATCTGAAAATACGCCAGATACAATCATGTATCTGTGTATTAGGTCGGGAAAAAGGATCCTTGATGGACTACCCAGGTTCTGTATTTTATTAACGTGCGCATGTGTGTGTGTATGATGATGATTTACATGCTTCTGCATGTCAAACGTGTCAATTGGTATAATTGAGGTATGTGAAGCCTCGTCCATTGCACAGAGCTCTGAAGGATTTATACCATGGCAGTTGTGTCGAACAATTGAACTTTTAAGCTTTCAAACTAAGTTAAATAAGCCAAGTGCCGAGCCTAGTAACAAATGCAGATACAAGAGTAAACCGGCGCGGAGATCTATTTTTCAAAAACAAGCTCACAGCCGGTTAAGAGCTCCCATTGTTGTGTTACGCGGCATAATTTTATATGCATGATTGAAATAGAGATTCAAAAAGTCTCCCATGATAAGTGGTAGGCCTTACATTTTAAGAATTTGATCTATCATCCTCTGGGCCTGCGACCGGTACCCCCCCCCGAACAAGACAATGTGATTCAGGATGTGGTACAAATTATAGACCACCTTCCTCTTCTCATATCCCGGCTCCAGGGGCCATTCCTCCATGTAGGCTGTGTAAAACGCCGGGGCCAGGGAGCCGAACAAGGCTGTCATGGCCAGGTCTGCCTCCCTGTCGCCGTAGTAGACCGCAGGGTCGAAAATGCACGGGACGCCCTCTCCTGTCGCAGCCACGTTTCCAGTCCAGAGGTCCCCATGCAGCAAGGAAGGCGCTGGACTGTACCCGTCCTCAGACAAAATCTGCTTCACCTTGGCGCGGAGCTCTCGCTCCACTTGACCAAAGTCGTGTCCTTCTCGGCGACACAACTTCAACATGTGCCCCAGCCTCTTCTCGTCCCAGAACTCAACCCATGACGCCTGCCACCCATTCGGTTGCGGGGTTGCCCCAATCGTATTATCGATATCCCAACCGAATTGACCATTCTTGCTTGTGTGTCGGTGCATCTGCGCCAGTTCTCGGCCCATGCGTCCCGCAGCGTCTCCCCTGTGAAACGTGGTAGCACGAAAATTGGCGAGAGCCCGTGTGAAGATCCGGGTTCCTAGCACGGCAAACAAGCAGTCGTTGCTCATAACAGAATATCTGCGCCTTTCTTCAACCACTTTCTCATCCCCTAGCCTTACCTTGTTCCGCCCATGGCCAAGTATTCGAAAACGACAAATGCCTGAGCGTCCGAGGTTCCGACAGCCACAGGGGTGGGAACCCGAATCGTATGCGTGTCATACATGGCCTTGGTCCCCTTATACTCTGCCAAAAGCATGTCCAGTCCCCATGACCCCGTCGATTTGTAGAAGTACTTCTCGCCTACTTTTCTGTCTTCGGCAACGCCTGTGTTAGCCCCCCCCCCCCCGGCAAAGCCTCCGCCTCCGGTGGGTTCCAGGACGGTGGCCTTTGCATCGTTGTGGAGTGCTTGTCCAATAGCTTGAGACATGGCTTCTAAGAGTGGCGTTCCGGCCTTAGCTTCGTAAAGGAGACCCATTTTCAACGCTGTAGAAGCACTTGTAAAACGAGAGCAGGGGGTGCTAATTCTAGGGATGGCGAACGTTTTTTGTGCGAGCAGTGGGGTCAACGCGGGGAGAGAAGGACAAAATGCCCAAGCTGATAACGAGCTGAGTAATACAACAGCAAACGTGTGGAGGAGGAGTACTCGTAGAAGATAGCTGAAGTTAGCCAGAGAGACAGCCGACGCGTTACGACCTCCCTCCGGACTGGTAAAACGCATAGCCTGTACAGATGTGTTGCCGTGCACGTTATGCGAGGGAGGGATATGTTCACACATCGATCTGGCTATAATGAGTGATACCATTACAGGTGATCACATAGGGACAAAGCACAGCATTAGTGTAACTCAAATGTTTGCTGCTTCGCGTCTAACCTCCCCCCCCCGAAATAACCTCCTCCCCCTTTACTCAAAAGCCTTTCTCTCCTCTCCTCCGTTGCCCTCGTCCTGCGATAGGTTACACGGGCTGTCTGATAAGGCGCTTTAGGACGACTGATACTCGTCTCTTGAAAAGGAGGTACTTTGTTCGACGGAGTAAGCTCATACCATTTTATTCCTATAGAAAGACAGGGGCAGCGGCAGGCGGGCGTAATGCCTGTTTCCCCACCACCTTCGTTGCCTTTGCCGGACGAGGATACCTGGTCGCTTCCAGCATTCAGTCTTCTATACCCCAAAATAAATTGCATTCGATGCAGCCTGCGCCTGGCGGGCGTATGCGATGCTGAAATACTTCGTGCCCCGGAACGTCAACTCCGTGCCACCCTTTGCTCTGCGCAGGGTGCAGAAATAAGCCATGCCACCTGCAGAATGTGTCCGCTTTGTTTGGGCATACTACAGTCGTCAGGTGATAGGGAACTTGGCTCGGCTCTGTTAGATGCAATTTTAGCGCAAATTAAAACGAAAAAGTACGTGTTGCCGACTGGCGGTGATAGCCCTGACATGACACAACATAAAAGTACCACCGACCCTGTCGGTGAAATGGTTGCTGAACACTCCAAATACCTCCTGGAGAGAAAAGTTCCATTCATCCTAGGAGTCTCACTGCCCGGTTCTGTGGCTATCCGGGACCGCGCCGCCCTTGAATGGGTAGCGTGCGAGCAGCAAACTGGGCGTCACCAGGACCCGGGGCGGCGCCTGGACGTGAAAGAAATTCTGAAAGCAGTCTTGGAGTCATGCTTACCGAAGCATTATCCATGCTTGTACGCGGCATCTACTCCTTCCCCTGGGGCCCTGAGAGTGGACCTCTCTTTCTGGCACGCGGGGGCCGACGAGGCGGACTACCACCAGGGTGTGCGCATTCTTTTGCCGAACGCCACGGGGAAGGCCTTTAACCGTACCCGGAAGCGCCGGCGACACGAGGAGAGCAATCAGGAAAACCTCTGTAATGCCACAGTGGTAGCGCGCGTCCTACAGGCGGCCACGGGTGACCCGAACGTGCGGTCAGGCCTGGCTGTTTTTTTTGCGCGAAACCTGATGCCTCCTTCCACGCATTCGCCCACTGCGTACGCGGCGCTGGAGACGCCGGCCGCTTCTTCGGTCCAAGTGACCCGAGAGGCAATCTTTCTGGCGGGCCGGTACCTAAAATTAAGCCGAGAGATGCCGCAGACGTTGTGGGTGGTAGAGGGGGGAAGGCGAAAGGGGAAAGCCTCGGTAGAGGAGGTAGTCGCAGAGCCCGTGCTCGATTGGACAAGCGCGACCTCGGCCGTGCTGATAGGTTCGGGCAGAGAGGACATGGACGTGAGGATGTTGGGAACCGGGCGGCCTTTCCTCCTCCGCGTGAACGACCCCCGGCGGATCCCGGGGAGAGAGGAGGTGGCGGGCTTGGAGGCGGCAATCAATCAGACGACGGGCCTGAACTCGGGGGGGGACGTGCGAGTGCACGGGTTGCGACTCTCGGACAAGCATGAAGTGAAGGCAATGCACGCAGGGGCCACGGAGAAGGTGAAGATGTACAGCTGTCGTGTTTGGGTGGGGGGCCGCGTGGACCGAGCGCTCCTGGCTACTAGTCTGGAGGGGAGCAAGGAGCTAGTGGTAGCGCAGAAAACGCCGATCCGGGTCTTACATCGCCGCGCGCTTTTGACTCGGCCTAAGGTGATCCATGAGATGCGTTGCACGGATGTGAAGGTGGTGGAGGGCGGGGAGGAGGGCGGGGAGGAAGGCGGGGAGATGGCTGTGGGAACGTACTTCACTTTGCATTTACGAACTTCCGCGGGCACCTATATCAAAGAATTTGTCCACGGAGACATGGGAAGGACCAGGCCGAGCGTGGGCGACCTTTTGGGAGGCCTGGAGGCGGATCTATTGGCCTTGGACGTGACGGGCATCGTGATGGAGGGCGAGGAGGGGGAACGGGAGGAAGGAAAGGAACAAGAGGAGGAGGCAGGAGGAGGCGTGAAAGGTGCCGAGATAAATGGGATCGTGGTGTAAGGAAATGATGTCAATGTTGGTGCTTGGTGTCCTGTTGGTCCGAAGTCCAGCGAGACGAGCCTGGCATCCGCCGCAAGGGCCTCCGACAAGGCAGTACGTGCTCAATTTCAAACTCGCATATTTCATCAGACATATACATCCCGCTTTTCAAAATCCATTTCCTCCCTTTCCCCCGTTCCCTCACCCCGCGCTCCTGCGTGTCGAAAGCAACGGCTCCTCCCGCATCCCTTCCACCCACCCAGCAAGCTGAAAGAGGCCGACGCGTGCCAGAGGTCATTTGATCATCTCCCCGGCTCCATGCCCCGTCTCGTCAAAAGTCGCTTGCTCTCCCCCGCCCTTCAAAAATCTTCACGTAGCTCGCTTCCTCCTCTTCCTCTCCCTCCTCCTCGCCTCTATCCTTCCTCCTTCCCCCTCCCTCCTCCTCCCTCCCCCCGCCT